ATACACACACACACACACACACACACACACACACACACACACACACACACACACACACACTTAGCGCGTTATATATAGTAGGATATTACTCAAGTGGGTTTTTTCTTCCATCTGAAGTCAAGTCAGTATATGTTTTGTTTTGTTTTATGTAGGTATTGTATCTGCTTTTGTTCATAGCTAGTCTCATCAACTTTTTTACCGTTCGGCAGTGTAGCTGTGGGATTTAACAACTCCTTGCTTTCTTCCTAGAGCCTAGGGCAATCCTAAAGATGCGACCGTACATGTTTAGAATATTTTGAACGAATAGTTAGAATGATAGATGAATTCCAGTTTATTCTTTTCAGAAAATGGCTCGCATTCATATCAGCGGCTGTTTTTGGGAAGAAAATGGGAATCACTCTTTACATTTCGAGTCGGGGTTGGAGAACAAGTGTGCTGAGCTGCGTGAGCTCTTCACTTCACAGCCTTCTTCTTTGATTAGGTGATTTCTCTATGATTTTCTTTGTAGAGATAGCGCCTAATTGGGAAGCACTCTCCACATTTTGAGTCGACGATGGTCTGCTGGGACGGAGGACAACACCGTGCAAATAGAGGGATCTTTGCACCAGAGAGCAAAACGAGGACCTTGAACTGAGCCATGATTTTCAATTTTTTCTACTACTTCTGTTCTATATATCAAGACATGAAGACTTACATTGAGATAGAAATTGAGGTTCATCTCAATGTAAGGCCTTCATTTTTTTAAAAATTTGGATACATTTTTACCCGTAAAACTCTTTATTGCAAAAGCATGACAACCGCTCTTCTGAAGCATTTGCTTCGGATACATTTTTGCAGATGGGAGCATATAAAAATGCTCAAACAGTCCTCATCAGTGTTTAGCCTTTGATTGGTGACCATGATCACATCAATCAGTTACTATTCATTTCTCCTTCGAGTTGGCGTAAGGAGCTTGTATTGCTGGTTAATTTCGGGCCCAGCAAATGTCAGGTCTGATTGCATCCTCCGTACAAATGTGCACTTGCTACGTGAAGGTGGTGTATGCCCTGACCTATGGACAAGACCAAGGAATAAGGACCAGACTCAAATGGCACTGTTGACAAGTCTGTCAACAACTTTCGTGACACTCTGGGCAGAGCAGCTTCTGTTGCCTGTCTCGAGTGTCACAGGAGTTTTTAACGGCTTCGGTCGCCGCTTGAGTCAAGATCGTCGGAATTATTTGCGTGTGTTTCGAACGGATTTTCGTACATAGCAGAATTGGGCAGTGCCATTTGCTCAGATGTAGTCTCACCTTCGTACAACTCGATGATCACTTGGATGAAATGTGAAATATCATTTCCTATGCTTGAATTCTATGAGGGAGAACTACAAGCAGTTAAGCTTTTCTATGTGGGCAATTTTCGGCAGAGTATAATAGGTATTCTTGTTTTGCACGTTATTTATTTGAACCAGAGCGATATTTCTCTGTTGCCAGCTGTTTTTCGGTGGAATTCAAACACAATTGTTAGCCGTTTTTGATGACTTGTTTTCTTCTTTTCCTTTTTTGTATCACTCAAACGCCGGTGGTATGTTGCCACTATGTAGAGGATAAAAATTGAGTCCTTTGGATTTACCCGAGAGCGAAGCTCAAGGTACGTTCTTTACTTCAAGTTCTATAAGCATTTTAGTCGGTACATTAAAACTTCACTGGTAACAGGATTATCGTAGGACTTGACAATATTTTTGATATGACTGCTGTGGTTCAGCTGTCTTGGAATGGTTATGGTAGAGTGTGAGACCGTGAATACACGCTTCTATGTACCTTCTCCCGAAGACCGGAAAAAAACCAAGTTTGTTGGAGACTAGTATTGATCGTTGGCGATAAAACGAAATCGATAGCCGGATTGACTTCGTCGAAGGGTTTGGATTTGTTTCACTGCCACTTCTTGCTGATTGATTTCAGTGGACTTTCTGGATGTGACTGAAAGAACAACTCGAGAAACAGCCCATCAGTTTTGATCGATAAGATCGCCAGTCTGTCGCAGACCCTCCGCGTAGGGAGTACCTATGCAGGAGCACTATTTCTTAAGCAGGATCAGAGAAGAGAATGCTGTACTTGTATGAGACATCAAAGATCGAGGTTAGGACTAGTGCTTTTGCAAAAGTACCGAACTGCTGAGGGTGCACGACCGAAAAGTGGTCAAATCTTGGAAAGAAGCGTTTTGATATTCGCCCCAGTGGCCGAAATTCTTTACTAAATACTTTTGACCCTTTGAAGCACTTTCTTGTTAAAGTGATTTTCACTTCTTTCGGTTATCTGAGACTTCTTCTTTCAGATTCTAATGATCTAACTAGCTACAATTTCTTTATTCCAGACAGGATTCCAAAACAATTTTCCAAAGGCAGAATTTCAGACCAAGATATTGTCACCCTAAAATTCTGCCTTTGATAAATTTTACCTCTCCTCATGATCAGCCTGTGGTTGACAAGCTGATCATGGGGAAACAGTGTTTTCATTTTGTAAAATAAGAGTCAGAGTAGTTTTCTGAAAAGAAGTGGTTAAGAGTCGTACCATGATATTTTTATGTAATTCAGACTACGAAGCGATCACAAAGTGCCAACCGACTGGCAATACGAACGATGTGGATAATCCTAGATGCGACGGTTCTAGACGGAACATCTGGATTCATGGACTCATAAAGGCTGCTCTCACCGCTTGCCCATTGAATTTCGTCTAGCAATTTGATGTCGCTAGAACGAGGAATGACTGGACGGGCGCAAAAGTTGAGCCGCTTAGTTTTTGAAAAAATCATTCACCTCGAAAAAGAAAGGGTTCGAAGGGCACACATTGTAAACCGCCGCATAAGCCTGGCGAGCTTCGGCCCTCTCCTCACGACAGGGTGGTCGCGCCGATAGCAAACACACGGTGCGATGAAAGTTTGAGTGTACCTATCCTTAAAATCGCACTTTGATTTTTGCTTTTCGCTGGAGTCTCGAGGCGATTTCATGGACAGACTGAATTCGTAACCGTATGTTTGAATCGACATGCACGAGTCCAGCACGACGAAGGCCTACTTCTCCGTTGGATTTGTTAAACGGTCGGACAGATCGCTGACGAGACCAAATTATTTGGGAGATCGAGGATCATCCACGGTCAGGTATACAACTCACCGTGATAACGAATCAACTCAGGAACGCCTTCAGCTAAAATCCAAGGGCAATATGTCTTATATATATAACTCGACAGGTGAATATACCGTGCTAACGGTCATCGTGGAATGACTGAAACTGAAACCTTCATGTTGTGCGAAAGGAACTACCGTGCTGCTACCGTACTCTACCGTACAAGCAAGCACACCTGAAGAAATATAAGATGCAATCTTAGCTCTAAGACATCGACAAGGATCCACTAGTGTTCACTGAACTAGGAGAGAAAATAGACAAAGGATTTCACTTGAAGACCATTTAGTAGGAGGAGCTGCTGTGTTCCGAAAACTCTTGCTTCAAAAATATTTCTTAGACATAAGCAAGACATCGCACAACCCCACGGAGCCGAAATTGTTCTGCACTGGTGCTGAAATCACTCACCAACTTTCTGGCTGCTGAGAATTGGTTCCCGGACCTTGATCCCGTGGACTACGCAGTATGTGGTTATCTGGAGCAGAAATCTTGTGATACCCTTCATTCCAGCCACTCTTAGGTGTAGTCTCTGAAGAACGCCCTTCGTTGGGAAAGAGAGAGTCGACGTCGCTCATCCTGTCCAGTGATCGACTCGTTTCCGAAGTCAATAAGCGCCGTCGACCGGGATGCCGTACTGCGTCGACCGGGATGCTGTACTGAAGCATGAAGATACCGTACTGCGCGGATTGCTCGGAGATTTTTATAAGCTCCCCACATTGTTTGTCACACTATGGCAAGATTCCCCAGATTCTTCGGGCTTTCTAGGAATTTCTTCGACATTTAGATGGCAACTCACTTATCTGAAGCGTGAGAGATCTTGCAAGGCTTGGCTATTCCAATGTGTGCTCATCGAACCCACCTTTTCAGATACTATTCTTTCTGTGCTGTTTACAGAAATAGTTCCTCGGCTCACTTCCTCCTGCTTCGAATGTCTCGAATGAAGTTGCGGTGGAGCGATCAATGAGCAAATCGGATTATTGTACTAAGCACTCACAGCATCGCCAACTATGCAGCATGAGGATGAACGACTTCATTCGTTCTGTGGGTACCCTGCCGCTGAGGAAATTCGGTCACAAAGTTCTACTGCGTTCAATTCCTTTTTAGTGTTTACGCAGCCACGTGCGTGAATCAGTACGCTGGACTGTACAAAGGAAAATTACACGCAAAGGCCTTTCGTCTCGAGGCAGCACGAGTTTCGTGGCAGTAAAGGCGGGTCAACTTCGTTCGACGTTTGTCGTGAGGCGATCCGAACGGGGATCAGAAGTACGCAACTAATAACGTCCTCTCAAATGTCCACTCGATGCATTCATTCAGGTTGATGCCGTCGTGACCGAAGCCGGACCATTTTCTGGAACAGGGCGCATCCATATACTCGTGTAACTGGGCATCCCGCTTGTTGTCTTCTCGTCAACAGGAAAATGGACATATGTAAGACGACGAGGATGGGTCAACTTCGTTCGACGTCTGTCGTGATACGATCCAAACGGGGGTCAGAAGTATGTGATGACCATTCTCTTTGATGTACACTTCTTCATTGTGTTCATTCAGGTTAACACCATCCATCCTATCGTGACCAGCCATTTTGTCAAGGCAACTCTTCGATGTGCTCGTGTAGCTGTGAATCTCGAATTAAAAGCTTCCCGTCTAGGCGCATCATGACATAGAAGAATCACTACAGAATCAGCGGGACCGGGATTGGTTCGTCGCGAAATTGTCTCGGTAAGGAAGCTTGTAGTTCCGTGCGAAATATGATTGAAGCTTGTTCGTGACTAAGTTCTAGCGAAAGTCACAAACATCTGTTTTCTTGAGCCTTTACTCATCTTAAGACTTATCTGATATTTACGTGATTTGTCTGCAGAACTGTACATAAGTACATTTGAACGTTTAGGTTACCGTCGAAAGTCCAACCGGAAAGCATGCAGCCGCCTATCCTTCAAATGGGCTATCCGATCAGGGATCAGGGGTATTTCGGCAAATGTTATTTCCTTCGATAACTTTATGTCAGATTTGACAGTTTAGATAGTTTCGGCATGCGAAAAAACCACTATGGAAAAACTGCTGGATCAGGAAGAGCCAATCAAGAAAAGTGCTCCTCCGGTGGATAGCGGCGAAGGTCAACTTTTACATCAAGCGGCCTATGGTTAAGGTTTGTAAATTTAGCTTTCATAATTGGTCCACCTTCCAGTTCGAATTGCCCATTTTTGCAGGTCGGCGTTTCGACAGCGACGAGGCCCTCGGGGAGCTGCCACGCGGAGCCGCCAAAGTGACACTAACTTGTGCAGGTGTGACTGGTTAAAAGTGCGGGCACCTAGGCTCATTAACTTTTTTTTCGTATTGACTAACTTTTAGTATTTACTAAGCTGTTTTCTGCCGTTTTGTTTTATTTCTAACATTTTTTGTGTATGTTTAGTTAATAGGTAACTTTTAGGTTTTGTATACTCCCTGTAGTTTTAGGTTAGCAATTTAGGCACTAGTTCACTAATTAATGTTACTCAACCTTAGTTCTGTGGGGCGCGAAATGACTGTCGTGTCAAGGCTTGTTCTCGGGAGGATGACAGCTGCAATACTTCGACAAGCATTACATTAGGTTCTTTAGGCACCCGAGGGCGGTGGGCGGTAGCGATGGGAGAAATCGGGGGGATGGGAGAACGGGAAGAATGGGGAAAGTGGGGGAGGGGGCATGGATAGGGTGGGACCACTTATGGAGTGCTTTCTAATCAGTATTTTGTTCACCTCACTTCTTCCTTTCTTTTTGTTTTGCTGGAGATCCTTACGGGAACCCACCCAAACAAGTACTGGGAAGGTAGTTCCGGAAAGCAATCAAAGTAATACAGTATGTATTCAAAATATTTGGTAAGGGTATAATTCGACTAATTTTCTCAGTTTTAATTGTTTTCGCAATAATATTGCTCGTCTTTTGTTGATTAGGTACGATCATTATTCTCACAAAGTTCGACACTTGGGTAATTAGTGGTGATCAGTGGGCTATCAGTAGTTACAGGTTTTTGGTGGTATAAACCCTGGTCTGCTTGTCGGAAGGTAGTTGCTGTCTTCCTTTAAAGTACAGCTTTGCGCATCGCGGTTAAGTTTAGCGGTTCAAGGGACTTTGAGCTGAGCAATATCGATTAGTGAGCGACTAGTAGGGTTAGGATAGGATCTATTAGTTACCTAGGTGTTCACACTTTACAGTTACCCTGTAATACCCACCCTAAGTTTT